CATCAAAAATCGCTTACAAAAGTATATAAGCCCAGGGCTTATAGTCGGAGGTTTACGGTATATTTGAAAATTATTTAACCATGATATTTAACTAAAGTATTCTGAGTATTTTCTCGTGAGCTCACAAATCAATTATCCTTTCTCACGCCGCCATTTAACCATTTTGGGGGTACTGCCTTTTCTAAATCTGAGATTGTACGCAGTGTATAAGGGATTTGTACAACTATAATTGTGAGTATAATCATTATAAGTTAATTTACAGTTAAATATTTGAAAAAATGTTTTCACATCGCATAGATTTTTCACGTTGTTTTCAAAAAAGTACCCCAAAAATGGCGAATTTGGCCTTCGTGAGAAAGGCTAATTAAATCGTTTGAAGAAATCGACACGCGCTAACAGTTAGTAGACGTTCCGCTATTGGAAAAGCAGAACATGTATGGTCACAGTTATGGTCAAGCATTTTTTTAGGGTGGTGCTGGACTTCTCCAGGGGTTGCTAGACACTACTAGGTGGGGGGGGGGGCGCACCCCCTGCACCCTCACGGTAGATCCGCCCCTGACTTCGTGTACATCTATTATCTATATATAGTTTAATACCCGAAGATTACAACAAAAGATTTTGTACACTACATCTGTTTTGATGCACAATTTTATATAGACATTACAAGCAAGCTTACTCTTTGCTGACTGAAATTAAACAGAATGAAATGAACATATTGGAGATCAAAATTGTGGCTGGATTTATTAATTATAAGGTAAGAATATTTTGAACTTGAGGGGGGTACTCGGCCAATGCTTACCTCCGCCAGCGAATTAAGCCAAAGAGTAAGAAAGGAGGGGTTTGATGGAAGGAGGGGCAAAGAGTAAGAAAGGAGGTGCAAAGAGTAAGAAAGGAGGGGCAAAGAGAAAGAAAGTAGGGGCAAAGAGTAAGAAAGAAGGGCAAAGAGTAAGAAAGGAGGGGCAAAGAATAAGAAAGGAGGGGCAAAGAGTAAGAAAGGAGGGGCAAAGAGTAAGAAAGGAGGGGCAAAGAGAAAGAAAGGAGGGGCAAAGAGTAAGAAAGAAGGGGCAAAGAGTAAGAAAGGAGGGGCAAAGAATAAGAAAGGAGGGGCAAAGAATAAGAAAGGAGGGGCAAAGAGTAAGAAAGGAGGG